GGTTTAAACCGGTAAGAACCGGCCGGTTGGACCGGTCCGCCCAATTTTCTTTTTTTTTTTGCTAATTTTTTCCAAAACATGCATCCATGGAGGTTTGAACCCAAGACCTTTTAAATGTTTGGTTGAGTTCCCAACCATCCAACCAATGGTGCTTTTTGTTTCATGTTCATATAATCTTTTATAATATTTCATAATTACAAAAAAGATTGTATATAAATTCCTTTTCAATTTTATAAATATAATATTATATAGCTATGAGTCAAACACAAAATCATTGATATTATTGATACTATTACAAAATGCAAATCATGCAAAGATTTTGTTTATTTAATAATAAACAACTTATTTGAAAAAAATAAAATCAACATTTCAAATTCTTTTATATTTTTTTAATATGTAAATTTTATTTTTTAATTTTATAAAATAACTCAAGTATATTAATATAATATTATTTAAATGTTATAAATTACTTTCTTTAGATATTTATAAATGAGAATGTGTGTGTGTCTATATGTATGTATGTATGTGTGTTTAAATATATATACATATACATATTCACACACACACACACACACATATATATATATATATATTTATTTATTTATTTATATTTATATAATTTTTAAATATGTTTAAACCACCGGTTCGACCAGTTGAACCACTGGTTCGACCAGTAAACCAGTGAACCAGTACCTTGACCGGTTTGGTCACTGGTCCGGTTCTGAAAACTATGGTATATACACAAGATTGATTACTTAATCCTAAAAAGTAATGTGAAATAATATAATTTTACCCTTGGTATTCTTGAAAAGGTGGATTTGTGGCAACATAACAGTTCGAGAACAATGGGCTTATCCCATCCTAAATCCACGCAATCACGCCTCCCTGCAGCATTATCCATTGTCACTTGTAAGGCCCTCAAATGCCCACGTCGCCCGCGCCTCTGTCTTCCCGTTCACTCCACCCCTTCATCGCCGTACACCTATATATGTCAATCGGCGAGGACGCCCAAAGAAAAAAAACCAATCTTTACCAAGAACCCTAGACTGGAAATCAGCACCCAAAAGGCACATCGAGAATGGGCAGCAAGAAAGCGATGGAAGTGGTGAGGGGTCTGGATGTGGAGAGGTACATGGGGAGGTGGTATGAGATCGCCTCCTTCCCGTCCACCTTCCAGCCCAAGAACGGGGTGGACACCAGGGCCACATACAAGCTCAACCCAGACGGCGGCACGATCAGTGTGCTGAACGAGACTTGGAGTAATGGGAAGAGGGGTTTCATTCAGGGGACCGCTTACAAGGCCGATCCCAAGAGCGATGAGGCCAAGCTTAAGGTCAAGTTTTATGTGCCCCCTTTCTTTCCCATCATCCCTGTCACTGGTGACTACTGGGTTCTCTACATTGACAATGATTATAAGTATGCCCTGGTTGGCCATCCTTTCAAAACCTATCTTTGGGTATGTTCCCTTTATTTTTCCTTCTCAACCTTATCTCTCTCTCTCTGTGTGTGTGTTGGACTCTCAATCTTGTGAATTGAGATTGATTGCCTGCGCCTTTCGAACCATTTCTCTTGTTTTTTTATTTAAAAAATCTTAATTTGGAGTGAACCATTATAGTACCTGCTAATTAGAGGAATTCTGAGATGCGAGTTCCCTTTAATGTTAATAGTCTGGATGTTTTCTTAAAGAGTTTTCTAGGGGAATGAATGACTTAGGGTAGGGGGTTAATGTGTACTTTGATTGATAGAGGGTTTGATGAAAACAAGTAAAATGTGATTGAAATGTTATGTAAACCCTCGTTGTATGTCTCAACACCTTCATTTCTTTTTGGTAGAAATGGTTTTGGGGAGTAATTTGGAGGGCCATGTCTATTTGAGATTTCATAAAAACCTAATTAAAGAGCAATACTTAGGCTCCAAAACACTCTCCAAAGGAATTAGTGTTCAAAGTATTCCCTTTTGCTGCTTTTTTTATGAAAATAATCTCTGAACATGTTGAGTGGGACTTGATGTTATGTTGCCTTCAGGAATAGATGTGCAATACTTTTGCCTAAGCAAAAATTATACAAACTTGCCATTTGTGGGTTGAAATTTTGCACTGTTTAATTATTTGTGATAATTTTGATCTTTTAATTGGGTTTGCGGAATAGCAAGCTTGTGAATTTTGTGCCGTTTTTGTTTGTGACTTTAACATTTCTTCATAAATGTTAAGGGTATGGTGAGGGAATCTCTGTCCAAAGTGATTAAGGTCCTCTGACCCCTTATTATGTTCTCATAAATGTTAAGGGTATGGTGAGGGAATCTCTGTCCAAAGGGTAGACAGCACTATAAAGAGGCTCTCATGTGGCAGTGTGGGCTTAACAATGATCAGATTTCTTGGTCACTAATTTTGATCTCATACATCTCCCACTCAGGTACTATGCCGTGAGTCTCGTCCGGACGAGGAGACTTTCAACCAGCTGGTTGAGAAGGCGAAAGCCGAGGGATACGACGTCAGCAAGCTCCACAAGACGGCCCACTCGGATACTCCGCCGCCGGATGTGGAAGGGGCGGGGGCGTCATCGGATGACAAGGGCATTTGGTGGATTAAGTCCCTCTTTGGGAGGTAGGACATTGCAATGCCAAGGGTCTTTCTATCTGGTACAGAAAAAATAAAGAGCTACTCTCCCATGGGAGGAGTCTAGTTGTGATTTGTGCACAGTTTGTTGTGATATGTGTTACTGTTGTTTGATGGTGAAAATATTTGTGTTATTTGTGGCGTATACGTTTTGTTAATCTTTTGTGTGTGTGTGTGTGTTTGGTGTTCTCTTTGAATCCATCCATCCATCGATCCCAAGTTGTCCTCTTCCAATGCCACATCAACACCGAGGAGTGTATGCATACTCTCTGTGGCTTAAAGAAGTCACCTTCCTCTTTTTGTCATATTTCCCTTTTTTTAGGTTTCACGAAAACTATTCGAATAAACAAATCCAAATACAATCAAAAGAAGAAATTATATATGAGAGGAAGAAAATTATTATACACAAACTAATGTTAGAAAACAAAAAAAACATTTTCAAGATTACGGCTAGAAGCTTGAACGTTTTGTTGAATTGCTTTCTCTATAATTGAATGTAGAAAAAATGCATGTTGATACCTTGTTATTTATGAAGGGTGTTCCTATGTTCACCTCTATTTTGGCTTTAAAAAAAAAATTAAGTATTGCTATTTTGAATATTTTTTACATTATGCCCCGATATATGGAGCACGTTTTAGTCATATTTAGATATTTTTTATTTTTAATTAAAGTACCTTGTATAATTATAGAGAAGATTCCTTATGCTGAGTGTAGCGCCTCAAGGAAGGAGCCGCGTGATTTGTTGTGGCACTACCACGTCGTTGGGCTTCAGGGACAAACCCCGCCCCTTGGGCCTTGGTGCCGTGAGCGATTACTTTTTGTACGTAAGTCATTATATGACAAATGATATGTCGTTATAAATCTTTTCACAAGATCTACCCAAAGGCACCATTATCATGTATATAATTTTAACATTATTGTGTTTTGCTTATATATCCGCTCAAACACTTTTGAATTGAAAAAATTATGTTTTGCTACCATTGTTTTTGAACGATACACGGTTTAATAAAATTATGTTTTGCTTATATTTTCTTTTCAAATTAAACTAGTTTATGTTTTTTACGCATTGCTATAAAAAAAAATTGCACAAACTACTTGTATTGTTTCAATTGGTGTTACTTGTATCGTTTTTTTCTTTCATTACTTTTTTAAATTAATGTAGTTATATTTCTTTATTTTATTGGTGTACTATAAAAAGAAGGGAAAAAATAAACTAAAAGAAAAAATTAACGAGTAAATTCCATAATTGACCCTTTATAACAGAGGGATTTTCCTATTTAGTCCTCTATTATTAAATATGACCTCAATGGTCCTTCTTTTATAGAGATCTTTCCAAAAATAGTCCTTAAAAATAGGTAAATTTAATTGTAGATCTAATGTCTAGTACATATGTGCCTCTAAGATGAACAATATTTCTTCACGCTTAAAATTATTTTTCTGTACATTATTTATGCGGTTAAACTTTATTTACTTTCATTACTTATTTTCATTAGTCCTTTTATATAATAAAGTAGTCATGTCAATTTTTGTTTTGTAAAAATTTTGATATAGTTTTTAAAATTGAATTGAAAATAAAATTGATCAAACATAGTAGATTAAAATGAAAAGGCCGAAGTATTTTTTTAAAACAAAAAAAAATGGAAATTTGTGAGAAGAACCAAAAAAAACTTTTGTGGATCTCAGGTTGGCCATTAAAGCACGTACCTCTAAATTAATACCATGAGCTTTAATAACCGAGCAATAAGAATATTCATTAATATTCCTATTACTTAATTAATGTACACTAATCAACAAATTAAAATGACAAGAGTTGCATGGTACACCAATGTGGTTTGGAGGGGTTTAATTACCCACATATATATGCACGCATTCATTAGCTTAGAAAGATTAAATAACGTTAGAATTACTTGTTAAACGTAAAAAAAATGAAGGTCCAAAAAGCCACAAGAAAATACTCCCTCAAATTTGTGGGGGAGCCATTGAATTAACAAGTGAAAAGAAAGAAAAAAAACAGAGCGGCGCGCTATAATTCCGATGAATGTGTGGGGGAGCCATTGAATTTCTGTGAAGAGTTTCTCCTCCTCAAATTTCTCAATGTTACTTATTTCTCTGCCTGTGCGCGCCCCATTCCTCTTCTTCCCACATTCCCTCAAGACTTTAATTTCCCCCCCTTTCTTCTTGAGGGAATGCCTCTCTCTTCCTTCTAAGGCCTTCTTGCTTTTCAGGTTTTTTACTCTTTTTTTTCCTTTTCTTACCTTTCTCTTCTTTTCTATTTCAAATGGTGTTGGTTTTAGATCACGCGCATTACATTAAAGAAACCCGTTACCATATTCTTTTATGATCGTCTTGATTAACCCTGTTGATGCAGTGAATGAGATGTAGGATAGTTTAATGAAGGGTGGTTTAAGATTAATTTGTGGTTTATATTTGTTGTTATATACTCACGTAGAAAAACCCACATTTTATTTGATATATTATATTCCTTGTGGAGCTAGGATTGGGAGAAAATGATGATCAAGCATTTCTTGCTCCTTTGCTTGTTGATCCATAGCGCCAACGGAGCAGGAAAACGGGCAGCTGACCCGCCGCCACTAGAGAAGAAATGGCTGACTCTACATGGTAAGATTGAAGGCAATGTGTGTTGTGACAGTGTGTTTTTTGGGGAAATTAAGGATTGATGTTTCTCTCTCTTTTTTTTGTTTGTTTGTTTGGGTCGGACAGGCGGCGATCCTCTGGTGGTGGCGAATGGGGGACTGTCTGGTGTCTTTCCAGAGAGCAGCTGGGGGGCTTACTCTTTCGGCATACCCCAGAGTTTGCTGGGCTCTGCCATGCTGTGTGATCTAAAGCTCAGCAAGGATGGGTTTGGTTATTGTCTGTCCAGACTGCTCCTCCAGAATACAACCACAGTTGCCGACACTTTCCCCAAACTGCGCAGGACCTACGATGTCAATGGCCAAAAGCTTACCGGATGGTTTGGGATTGATTTCAATGCCCAAACCCTCTTCGAAAATGTAACATGTATGTGACCATCATGCAATGCACCAAATCAATCCCCAAGTGCACAAAAAAAAATGTCTCCTTGACTCTTTCGTCTTTTGGCTTCGCCTGCAGTGATACAAAGCCTATTCACTCGGACTGCAAGCTTTGATAACAGCTACACGATAAGTTCACCGGAGTCGCTGGAACAATTGGGGACCGAGAAAGACGTGCCCACCGTGTGGATCAATGTGGAGGTATGTATGTGTTAAGTCATCTCACATTAGCCAATCTAAGCTTGAAAATATGGTCCCATTGGCATCTCACTTTAGACGTTTTGTGGGTTTCGTGCAGTACGACATGTTCTACAAGCAGCACAAGCTGAGCGTCAAATCCTACCTCCTGGAAATGATGCAGGCTGTGAAAATCAACGTGGCTTACATTTCGTCTCCAGAAATTGGTTTCTTGAAGAGTGTCGGGCCAAAAGCTAAACCAGCAAAGATCTTTCTCAAGTTCCCAAATGACATGAATGCCGTTGAGCCCTCAACAAGCCAGAAGTACGGATCACTGATCAAGGATCTGGCCATGGTAAAGACCTTTGCGGAAGGAATCCTCGTCCCAAAGGAACTCATATGGCCAGTCAGTAAGGACCGCTACCTGGAGCCGTCTACGACTCTTGTGACAGATGCCCACAAACAAGGCCTTGAGGTGTTTGCCTATGGCTTTGCAAACGATAACTACATCCCTTACAACTATAGCCTTGACCCGGCGAACGAGTACCTCCAGTTCATTGACAACTCCCACTTCTCAGTGGATGGCGTGGTCACCGATTTCTGCTCCACCGCGTCAAATGTCATTGCGTGCTTGGCTCATAACAAGAATGCTTCTAGGGCATTGAGGAGTAAGAACCATCATATCATTAGAGAGACATCATTATAAGCATGTGATGGTGGCACCATTTTATACATATTTTTGTTGTGATTGCAGAGTTGGTCATTTCCCACAATGGGGCTAGTGGCGACTACCCGGGAGGGTCGGATCTTGCTTATCAGAAAGCGATGGACGATGGTGCTGACATAATCGATTGCAACGTCCAGCTTTCGAAAGATGGAGTCGCGTTCTGCCAGGACTCTGCCGACCTCAAGTTCACAACCACAGCAGGAACAGATTTCATGGATAGAGTGGAGCAAATCGAAGGGGTCAACGATGGGCAGCCCGGGATTTTCTCCTTTGGTCTTACCTGGGTTGAGATTCAGTCCCTAAAGCGTAAGCAAAGCTTGTTCTATGACCAATTACAAGTTTTTTTCTTGAGCTTCTCCTAACTGTCTGACTTTGCAGCTAAAATAAAGTCTCCATACGAGGCGCCATTGGACAGGAACCATGCATACCAATTTTCTGGGAAGTTCATGACACTCGCAGACTTCCTGGATTTAGCAAAGGCAAAAGCCGTACCAGGAGTAATGGTCGGCTTAGAAGTAAGTCCGCCTCATTAACATTCCAAGACACAACTTCAAATGTATCAACTTGTAATATTGATACAACTTAACCTCTTTTTGGTGTCCTGGCTAGAATGTTGCCTACCTAGCAACAAAGGGTCGTGACCTCATCGCAACAGTCACATCTGCGCTGAACAACGCTTCATTCGACAAGCAAAGCAAGCAGAAGGTGATGATCAAGTCAGACGAAAGCTCCGTGCTCTTAAAGTTCAAAAGCAACCCGAATTACGAAAAAGTGTTGGAGTTCAAAAAGGACTTCAGCTCGGTGCCCGGGAATTTGGCAGCCGAGGTAAGCAAGTACGCGGATTCGGTAGCCATGCGGAGGAATTCGCTGGTCCTGGAGTACGGCGACCCCTACTACATGACCAGAAACTTCACCAATGTGGTGCAAGCAATGCACTCGGCTAATGTCTCCGTCTACGCCTCAAACCTGAAAAATGAATTCCAGAGCTTCCTTTTCGATTACAACAGTGATCCTTACCAGGAGATTGCCACACTGCTCAGCATGGGCGTGGATGGACTCATCACTGATTTCCCAGCAACTGCAGTGGCATTCCTGAGTAAGACTCTTCAACTTAGTCTTACTACTTCAGATCAGAAATAGCTTTAAATATAACTAAAATCAGATGAGGTCAGATCAGATCATTAGACTAATCTATACACATTTCTTGATGATGATTTTTTTGTGGGGGCAGAGTCGCCGTGTTCTGACCCAAAGGCGAAACTAGCGTATACCATCTCAGCGATTGCACCGGGAGACATGTTCATGAACAGTGTGGCACCATTGATACCGGATTTCGATCCGAAGCAGATAAACGGGTCAAGCTATCCTGCCCTTGCTTCGAAGGACATTGTGCCCGAGGCTCTACCCCCTGTTGCTAATCCCAACGCCAGCTCCTCCGCCCCGGACTCCTCCACCACCAACACTTCAGCTCCACCGCCGCCGCCTAAAGACTCAAGCAGCGCCGGATTTGCACCCACCAACATCATTGCACTATCCCTTGTGGCCTTGGCTGGAATACTATTCCCATATTCTTTATAGAAACCACACAAAAAAAAAAGAAAAGATGATGATAATGTTTCTAGTTCGTGTGATTCTGTAATATGGGGGATCATCTTTCAATGACAGGGGCGGCTCTCCCTAATTGCTTGTACAAATATTGATTGTTGCAGGTGCACTCATGAGTCATGCATGATCAAGGAAATCCCATGTACCCAAGCCAAGCAGAGGAGGATGGATTGGGACCCAAGAATAACAACATAAATGTTACTCCTTACCATTCAAATGAATAATTTATATAAAAAGTAAATTACTAAAATAGTACTCTACAACTAGATATATTCTCAAATAAATCCTCTAAGATGAATTAATTGCCAAAGTAGTACTTATTAAATGAGATTAATTATTAGGTAAGTCCATCGAACGGAGTGTTAAAATGGCATAAAAACGAGGAACATTTTAGTAATTTTCATCGTCAAAACTTTGAATAATTTTCCAAATTAGTTCCTATTAATCTAGTGTTTTCCAAAATTTGTCCATTTTCGAATAAAAGCATACTCCAAAATTGGTCCTTTTTTTTTTATTAAAAACTCAAAAAAAAAAAAATTGAACAAATGTTCATATTATTAAACAGCGAACAGTTACATATACATCACCATTTAGACGCTCATCTCTAAGTCCTCTCCGAGGCCTATCTACAATCTATGACAAATACTTGGACTTGAGCTTAAAATTCACAAAGGTTTTAAGCTAATATCTAATGAAAGCGTAGCAATCCTCAATTGATATTTCCTCATTTAGCTTGATTTTCTTGTTTCTTGCTCCCCATACCGTGTAGCATATAGCTGCAAACGCAGCTATCACCACCTGCCTTCTCTTCCTCCCTCTTATCCTCCAGCATTCATCTTGCCATTCCACACACCATTCGCTGCTTGCCATCTATATTTGATCCACTGACCAATATTGTTTTGCACTTCTTCAGTGAATCTGCATTCATAAAACAGGTGATCTTTGTCTTCAATAGCGTTCCTACATAGAACACAAGTGGTATCAATGTTCATAAATTATCCTTGTATGCAGGCGTTTTCCTTCATTAGCCATTCATACCCCTTACTCACCTCATACTCCTTCATAGCAGTCATCCCACAGAAAAGATTCATGTCTGCTAATAATCTTTTCAAATAGAAGCAGAACCAAGGCTTAGGTGGTCCAGATGGATTCCTTCTTCAAGTATCTGTTGTGAATCCACTTAACCCAAAACTCAAAATTAGAGAGTATTAGATATCTATTTGGAGGTTATAAAAAATAAAACTAGAAATATAATTTAATAAATTAGAAAGTAAACGTTCCAGATTGTTTTAAATTATTCAAAAGTATATCATGTAAATTTAACTTGTATTTCTTTGCTCCTATTCAGAAATAAAGTTTCTGCTTCAATTCAATATAGCTAAAAAGTGATTTAGAATTATAAAAAGGTATAGAGTATATGAAAAATACACAAAATATGGATTTTAATTGGGATAATGCTAATATTAGACCAACACCATGTTCTCAATTTGATTGGGTCTCATTGTAGTTATATTTAAATAAACATGACATGCTCTTGTGTTACCCGAAATGAGACTTCTGTGACAAATTTTACCCAGCTCGACCAGACAAAGGAACATTAAAATCGAAAGGATTAATGTTTAAAAGATGAAAAAAATTTGAAGATTTTTTTTTTAAATTGAAGGAGAGATAGAGAGATGTTGTGTACGTGTTTAATTTTTTAAAAAATATTGAATTTATAGAGGGAAGAAAGACTTTTTTTAGGTTTAAATGGTTATAATGCTGTTGGAAGAGGGCCCAGCTGCGTTTTCCGTGCGTTTAACATTTGACGCACTACACAGCCAACCTAACACCCCGATGAAGCCGCTGGGGTGGTGCTTAACGCCCCAGGCTTTAAAAATCAGAAAAATGCCCAGTGCTCTTAAGATACTCTAAATGAGACTCAATCAACACAATATTTTGGGCAGGCTGAGACACCCTTCTGAAACCAACAACTCTTAGTTGAACATAGCATGCTTTGCTAAATTATTGGTAAGCCTCTCATTTCAGGGTTCATAACAGTATGAGCCTCCAGTTCACCTTTTCCCCCCTCAACCGATTAGGTGCCACCATAACGAGAGAGAAATACATAAAAGCTAAGATTCCCAGATGACTTGTGAACTTCAAGCTTCTATTTTCAATGAATAACTAAATAAGAGACTTGAGAAAGATACACAAACAAGTCTTAAGAATAAAGTGTATTAGGGCATTGGAGGATTAAAGGAGGGGGAAACAATTAAGAAATATTTGCACTAAATAGCACTAAAACTTAAGTTATTTCTCTAAATAGCACTTAAATTGTTTTATTCTTTAAATAGCACTTAATAATGTCCATAATGACCAGTGATGGTGAACATTTACTTGAATAGTAACTAATGAATAATGACTAAAAGTGCTACATTATGGAAAAAAACAGATGCAGTGCTATATAGGGAAAGTCATTATGTTTTAGTGTTATTTACGTCAATTCTTCAACAATTAAAGGGTTAAAGCTCGAAGTTCATTAAAAAAATAAGCACTATTAATTGAAAAAAAAAACCAATTAGTCCTATCAATATGCTCAAGCTAATGCCAAATGAAGCTTAAGTTAAAAAGGTATTTATTATCAAAAGACACAAATTGTGTTTAAGCTCATTGAATAAAGTGGTGGAAATGAATTCATCAAATTCAAATCCTATTGAAAGAAAGATGTTATCCGGCTCAGATTCGCCTTTTCTCAAACAGATTATGAGACAACCAATCCCACAGTGGCTGCAGAAATTCATCTGCCACGCCATGACAAGGGGTATGATTGAAACTCTTGAATTCAATTAACGATCATCACAGCCTCTACATTCTCTAGTGTTTAGAGTAATGTGCTTACTACTCTATGATTGCTGTATTTAGGGCCTGTTTGGGAAAACCATAGGACTATGAGTCTAGAATGAAGAGTCTAATCCAAGATATAGCCACGATGACGAAGTTAAATTGGAACGGAGGGAGTATATATATAATAAATCAGGGAAGTTTGAGTGGCATTTGGATAATTCTAACCCCATAAATCCATCAACCCAAGAATTAATTAGGTTAACTTCACATTTTCAAGGGAAATTAATCCAGCACCAAACAAACATCCTTCTAGGGTTGTTGATACAACTTATGCCATAATTCTTATGTGGGGAGATCCAACCACCCTAAAAAAACCTGCAAAGCGCCTCCTCATCAGGCTCAGATTTGGCGGTCTTTCAGAGACTAAGATGTGAATCGCCGATGGCTGCTACACAGTAAATCTCAGGAAATGGGAATTTCAGAAAATTACCGAGTCGCCACGCCACATTCAGCAAAGTTTCACCTCAGAATCCTGAAATCCCGAATCATCACAGCGAAGTTTTCTGCCGGCGGGATGGGTTGTTTGAATGATCATCGGCGGAGCAACACCACAGAGTGGAACTGCCTCAGCCTCATACTTAAACTAATGAGATTTTTTATGGCCGAGGATCTCTCTTGATGTATTTATGCTCAGTAGTCTATTCGGATTTCTGAGTAGTGCCCTAATCGTACAATTGGACCGGATCTCATTTGGGCTAATTTCCTAGTGTTCCACTCGAGCCGTCTAGCGTGACTCTAGTAACTTTTGACCACGAATTAAATATAATCTAAATAATTAAATATTTTAAAAATTTGATATTTCAAAATTATACTTTAAAATAAACCAGATTTTATTACATCTACATTATAATTAAATACGGAGTATATATTTTTCCCATAATTCGCGATCATAGGGTACCACAATTTGACAAAAAAGTCAAATTATGGCAATCTTTTAGGGATAAAGGAAGTATTTTGAAATGAATTAAACTAAATGGTACGAGATGGGTTGATTGGGTTCTCAATCAAAAATTAAAACCAAACCGCTACCACTAAAAATGAGGAAAATTCAAATCGAAAAGTTCTTTTTCCAGACGGAAGGAGTAATACTTTTTCCTATTCCTATTATGAAGCCAACTACCTAAGTATATATACATCCTTCGTTCGCCGCACCATCAACAAGGCTTCTTCTTCCATCCTCATCGTCCCACCGAGAAAACTCAGAGCTTCGCCGAAGTTTCAAGCCGTGTAATTTGGGAATTCTTCACCAATTAATCAAGGTGAGTCATGGTTTTTATATATCTATCATTAGGGTTAATCTGTAGATTAAGATTCGTTAATATATTCTCATTCAATTGATGTCGGATTTGTGTTTATGATAATTGAATTTGTAATGATTGGTTGTCTGGGTGAATTGACTTTTGATTTGGTGAATTAGGGTTTTGGGTTTGTTGTACGCGAGATTGCTCTGTTTCCCCCACCGTCTCTTCCTTCTATCCACGTACATATGAGAGTCATTGGCCTACCTAGGGGTCCCTTGGTAGGGGCTCAAATTCAACACGCCCATTGAGAATCCTCTTTAAGTTATTAAGCATGACCTCGAGGGATCCATCTGAGTTTTCACGACTCTAGTCAGTCAAAAGGAAATCTTAGCCAAGTAGGTTAAGTGTAGTAAGAATAAGTAAGATTTGAGTTAAAATAAATGAATAAATGATCATGATATTCAATAATGATATTTACTGATATATTGTATGACTATATATTGGTGCACTCTAGTTTATGAATTGGTTCTAGCGTTAGATATTTACTTACTCAACTTTCAGCTGAGCGTGTAGTCTTTATTGTCTTTGACTGCAAGCAGGTAGGGATCAAGGATTGGACGAACAACCTGAAGGACAGGCGTGATGCTGACGGATGGGCTAATGCTGTTTATTTTAAATTAAATATTCTATTGACTTTATTTACTTAAATTATAAGAATGTTTGATGTTGTTTTTGAAAGTTTCCACAACGTTTGTTTTGTTTACTCTGATTAATTTATAATTTGTTTCAAAATAAATATGAATGGATGTTTTATTTTTAATATTTTAAAATACTGTGCATGCAAATATCAGTTTAGTAGCAACCCGATTCACTAACTTGTTTGTTCGGATTATGTGGGTTGAGGCATTATAGTTATAAAAATACTCCGTATAATCTTATCCTAAATGGATGAAAGGTGTTTGAGATTGTGCTTGAAAATTTTTTGTTTTTGTACTTAGGCTTTGTTTCTTTCAGTTGTAAAAACAGAATTGGATGTTGGAAGAAACTAAAAAGAGGAAGAAATTAGAAATAGTTATGAAAATGGAAAGAATTAGAATAAATTAGAAGATGTTAAAACAAACTGAAAGAAGTTGGAAGAAATTGTAATAAATTTGCAAAAGTTGAAGAAACTAGGAATTGGAAAAATTTGAAGGATTAGAGAAAACATTAAGAACTTGGAAAAAATTAGAAGAAGTTTGAAAAAAGTGTTGAAATAAATATTTTATTTTTTAAATTTCATCTTTTATAAAAATAATTTTATTTTTTATAAGAAATAACCCCAAATAAGAGTAAAACATATAGAAAGTAGCAAAATAGAAGTTTCATATTTTTATCCCCAAAATTAGAGTTTGCACTATGGCAATTTGACATTATATTTGGACATTCCATAATATTTTTTGGTAATGTATAAAGAAATTAATCTAAATAGGAGTAAAACAGAGAGAAATTATCAAAATAGGACTTTCACGTTTTTATTCTCTACAGGGGCGGAGGAGAGGGGCATGCCTGGCAAGTGCCCGGCGAAATTCCGGCGAATTGGGATTAGGGTACCCAATTGGCGACGGGAGGCCGGATTTGCCCCCCCAGATCAGTCGCAGGTCCAGCCGCTGGAAATATTGAAGAACTCCATGCCAAAGCCGATCGAAGAAGATGAACTGACGCCGAAGAAAAAAAGAAAACAAAACGACGTCGTTTTGTGAAAGGGTTTAAAAAAATCCCCAGCGTAACACTCCACTGCGGCACGGCCCAGTAGCCCAAATCATCCTAAGCCCAAAAAATAAGAAAAATGCGGAGGACCGAGGATGAGGATCGGGAAAAAAATACGGATTATCATTATTATTTTATTATTATTATTATTATTATTTAGTTCTGGTTTAGACCTTGTGTGCCTTACTGCCTTTAAGGTGATTTTGTGGGTTACTTCTTATTATTATTATTATTATTATATGATAATTTTATGTGATACATTATACGAGTATATTAGTTTAGGATAATAATATATTTGGACAACATATAATACTTACACGTATTATTATAAATGTACATATGGTGTGACATTAATACTATTTATAATTGTGTGTCTTTAAGAAAATTTTGTCGGTAAATTTTAGTATTATTATTATCATTATTACTATTATTATTATTATCATATGATAATGTTATGTGCATATATTATATAAGTAGATTATTTCAAAAAAAATAGTATACATAGAAAATATATAATATTTATACATATTATTATATATGGACATGTGATGGGGAATTAATACTATTAAAAATAGTATGATTTTAATTGTTATTATTATTTATATTATAATTATTAATTTATTATTATTATTAATGCTATAAATTTTAAATTGAAAATTATTAATAATTATAATTATTAATTTATTATTATTATTATTATTATTTATTTGTATTATAATTAATAATTTATTATTATTATTATTATTATTATTATTATTATTATTATTAATGCTATAAATTATTTTAAATTTTGTTTATTTATTAAAAGAATTTTCGCCCTCCCATGAAATCTTTCCTGGCTCCGCCACTGATTCTCTAAATAGGACTTTACACTACATAGCCATTTTACTATACTTTTTTGTAATGTAATGGATATGATTGATAATATAAATACATTTTAACTTTTATTTTGGAAAAAACATGTAAATCCTATTTTGATATATTTTTAAAGTTTTACTTCTACTTTAGTGTTTTTTCATAATATATATAGTCATGATTGACACTGTATATGCATTTAACTCCTGTTTCAGAAATAAAAACACGTAACTCCTATTTTGGTATATTTTCAATGTTTTACTCCTCCTATTTTAGTCTTTTTTCTTTTTTATATCTTTATTTATTTTCTGATTTCTTCAATAGTGATTTAAAAAGTATTTACATGCATTTTTGATATTTTTATTATTATTTCATTTATAATTTTATTTTTATTATTAGTAGTAATTTAATATTATTATAAAAATTATTATTATTATTAAAATAAATGTATGATTTGAACCTTTTTAACTTGTAAATCCACACATAATGAATTAACTTAACACTTTTTATCCAAATTTATAATATAAGGTCTCTCAAACACGCTCAAATGACTATTTTTTTTATCCTAATTTATGTTTTTATACTTTTGATTTAGTTATTTTATTTTCTTTTTTAAAAATTTAGTTATTTAATTAGTTTTATTGTCTGATTTATATTATTGTGTTGCTTAATTAGAATAAAGTAAGCTGTACTTGCATTACTTTGACCATTTTTTTGATGATAAATGAACATGCTAATCAATTTTTTATTTCATAATTTCTATGTCATTAATTAGATTTGGGGATAATGGGATAAATATGAGAAGAAGCAGAATCTTGAGTTCAAAATGGCCGTGCATTTGCGCTCTGTAGGCAAGTCACTCGAGCAAATATCATTGAACAATTCTTTTCAGCTAATTTCTCGCCTGAGTTCTTTGAATTCCAATTCCCAAGCTCAAAGATGGCAATTCCAGAGCAGGCGCACTCTCATCCTAGAGACATTACCTTCTGAATCCGTAAAGTTAGAACAGCTCTCCAACTCCGATTCTGGTAAACGCCCATAGAAGCTAACTTCCATTTTGTTTGAAATTCTTTAGTACTGATTATTTATGAAAACTAGTTAACTCAACAAATCCTTAATGTCGCTGAAGGTAATGAACTTATGAACTGCGATTTACGTCTAAATTAGGGAGTAGTAATTTAGGGCTGTTAATTGGTAGGAATTTTGGAGCTTAAGTTGGACAGGCCGGATAGAAAGAATGCTATCGGGAAGGATATGCTAAAAGAACTACATCATGTGTTTGATAGAATAAATGAAGAGCGTTTGGCTAATGTTTTAATGATCTGCAGCTCTGTTCCAAAGGTGTTTTGTGCTGGTGCCGATTTGAAGGTAACTTTTTGACATGTCCTGATGTAATGGCCGGCGCTTTTTTATTCATTTTTCTGGGTACTCCATTTTTCCTGCTATGGCTAATGAGGCAAATACTACCATTATAGCCAGATAGACTTTCGAATCATGATAACACTTTTAGATTAAAGTGATTTAGGTGGAACTCCAAAATTCTTTAATCAGATAAGACAAAAGCGTTTGCAATGAGTAATGGATATTTTCTGTATTTGAAGCGCACCAATTGCATGCATATATAGAGAGAGATTCCGGCCACATGTGTCTCTCGTGATGAACCATCAAAATTGCTTGTTAAGCATTTGAATACTGGACTGTTGTATTCGATGCGTCCCAACCATTTGTTAAGAGTCGTGAGAAGTTAAGCATTCGAATATTTCAGTTTTTAGTGTACCTTTTCGGAAAACAGTCACAAAATCTGATAAATTTCTATAAGGCAGTACTTACCAAAACTAAAATTTTCAACGAGGGGTTTTGCACCTCTACCCCTTGGACCCCCACCAGAGGCTGCCACCCCTTGGACCATGCTACTGAGGGCGTTGCCCCCAAATCTCTGGATTCCCTGCCAAGGGCTTTGAACCCCCAAGATGTAGGGAGTGCTATAAATTATAATACCATTGAACGAGTGTGTACTCCACACCTCTTAACTCTTATCAATGTCTATTGAGATTTCATGTCTAGCCTCTAAGTAAATCCCGATTACCCAAAGTCTCCCGATGGCAATAATATCAACAACAATGAGTTTGCATTCTGCAATCATGTTAGACAAGTTAAAGATATTAGCTTTATGAAATATCCCCTATTCTTTTTTCAATAAATATTTAAGTAGGTTTTTTTGAAAGAAAAACAAGGGTTTTAATATGCATTGTTATTCTAAACTTGATGGACAAAAAGTGACATTCAAGTTGAATTAGACACAAGATATGTTCGTCTCAATTATTCACTCAACGCTATTTCCTTAGTCATGAGCTCTAATAAACCAGTATACTTGTGAAGCTTGATTGAGGTTGGCTCATCCAGCCTAACTCAAATATCAATCTAGATGTGAAAATGTTTTAGAATGTCATTGTTAAAAACAACTAGCTCAACTTGGTCTGTTACCACTATTTAAAACTATGTTTGTATTTTTTATTGTTAAGATTATGAACTAAATCAAAATGGCATAGTAAACCTGCATTGGTTCTTACCTTATATTATTGAAATGTAAAAGAAGAGCTTATGTGTCGTGTTTATGATTTATGACCTTGGGTTTTTTTTAGAATAGTTAGGTGGATTGAACTCATGCCAGTTTCTAAGTTGAGATCTCTTTACTAGTTTTCATGACAAAAGATTGATGTTTCAAGAAATTTCGTTTTGAATAGGAGTAACTAATGTTTAACAATCTATTCCAATCAAGAGAATAATATACAATCACATTGTTTTCTTCTCCTCCTTCCGTACCAAGCTTCAAACTCTTGACTTAGCGATTTGAAAAGTTTCTATCAAACCAACTAAGCCAAAGAGGAGCTAGAAAATTGACATCCTCATTTTTGCAAAAAAACTTGTTTTCCATGCTTGTGTGTTTGAGTATCAGAGTATGGTTTTTGTTTTCTACACTCTTATGTTTAAGTGGAGTTGTGTGATAAGAAAATTTTGCCTAGGATGAAAGGTAAGTTTTACCGATCCGTAATCAGACCAAGCTATGTTGATGGGGTGGAGTGTTGGGCGGTTAAGAAGATGCACGTGCCTTGGATGTGTGGGCGGTTAAGAAGATGCACGTGAGCTGCATGCGGCAGAGATGCAGATGTTGCGCTGGATGTGTGGGAAGACGACGCCAGATAGGATTCCGAATGTGGTTATTCGAGGTTCGTTAGGCATAACGCTAGTGGAAGATAAGTTGCAGGAAGCTAGGTTGAAGTGGTTCAGTCATGTGAGATGGCGGAATGCTGACGCTCCAGTGTAGAGATGCAAGAACTAATGTTGGTAGGGTGAAGTAGGGGAAGGGGTAGACCTAGGAAGAGTTGGATGGAGGTAATTAAACAAGACTTAGGACTTCATGTCCTTAATGAGGATATGGCCTTAGATACGAGCATTTGGAGAGCTAGGATTAGAGTAGCTGGGCAAGTGCCTTGGGTTAGGGGGTGTTGTTGTTGTGTGCTTTGTATGCCTTATATGCTTTGTGCTATCTACCATTTGCTTGCAGTACTTTTCCTTCGTTAACTTTAGTTTGTTTTTTTTACTCTGGGTGCTTGGCGCTTTATGTGCTTTCTCTACTTTATATGTCTAGTGCGATCCTTCTAAATGCGCAACTTGAGCCGGGGTTCTCTTGAAATAGCCTCTATACTTTCGAGTAGGGGAAATGTCAGTGTACACACACCCTCCCAAGACCCTACTTTCGTGGGATTCAACTGGCTTGTTGTTGTTGTCAGTTGTGGAAAAGTATCTCACATTAAAACCTGAAGAGAAAACAAATCAGTACGTAAGCTCTTGCGTTGAACTAAGTAATTGATTGCATTCAATCTTTTAATGTGGTTCAACTCAAGTGCCTTATGGCTCAGCCCAGTGATCCCTACCCCATCCTAAGTTCTATCATGGTACGGAGCCAGTTTTAGCCCACCACGTTTGTTAAGGTGTCCGTCTAGACTCTAGCGGCCCTAGTCTCTTACCCAGTTGTCCGTGTGGAATGTATATCCAACGGCCTTTGACTTGTTTAACCCGATTGCTCGTCTTGAAGTCCATACTGCTCGTGGCCCTTTAGGTGTTGGCGCTAAAAAAATCAAGGGGATGAGAGTCCATTTGCAAGTGGTCAACCGGTTAGAATGTTAGATTCAAAGTGGCCTGGTGGTCCACTTGAGGGGGAGTGTTGAAAAGTATTCCATATCGGAACTTGAAGAGAAAACAAATCGGTACATAAGCTCTTGAGTTGAACTAAGTAATCGATTGGATTCAATCTTTTAATGTGGTTCAACTCAAGTGTCTTATAGCTCAGTCTAGTGATCCCTACCCCATCCTAAATTCTATCATCAATTTTATATTTATTAGCACGAGGGGCGAAGGCGTGCGGAGTCTATGTTTTATGTTTTTGTGCACTAAGGCTGCTGATTCTAAGTCAGGGCGAGTTTGTTTAGTTCCAATTAGACAATATTTCTCCATTTATTAACTTGGTATTTTCAGTAACCCATTTCAACAATATTTTTATGATTTTCATTTATTTAGTATTTATGTGGTCAAAACATAACTTGAATTTAATTGAATTATTTTAACATAGTTTTGTGCTTTGAAAATAAGTTATGTTTCATTTGTCTTTTTCTTAATTTACATGTTAGTATCTATGCCATAGTATAAACTATGGAGTTTTATCGAAGAGGCTCTTTGTATCCACTATTTTAGTCTTTTTCTAATGCTGATATTGATAGGATGTTGTCCATCTTATCAGAACAGGCTGGATCAAATGAAGGCTCTTTTCAGGTGTTTTGTGCAACAAGAGTATGCCGAAAAATTTGAAAGGCAAGTTTTATCGAGCTATATTAGACTGGCTATATCGTATACGCTAGTGTTGGCCGATGAAGAGCACACATGTGGAGAGAGTTTGACCTATATGTTTGAGAAGGTTCAGGTGGATATGTGGTCATACGGGGATGGATAAAGCTGGGAATGTGTTTATCCGGGACAAGGTGGTAGTGATATTTGTGGATAATAAGATGCACAAATCTAGAGAGATAATTAGAGCACACGGTGAGGAATACTGACGCTCCAATGGGGATGTGCAAGAGGCTAAGATAGGGGTGGAGGTAGACCAAAGAAGAGTTGAGGCAAAGTAATAAGACAGGGCCTGCACCTTAAGGAGCTCCCCAAGAACATGACCCATTCATTTTTCCATTGAGGATTATAGTTGTAGGGTCCGCCTAGGTTGGGGTGGTTATTGTTGTGTCTACGGCTATGAAGTTTAGTTAGAAATAGTTACAGGTCTGCATGATTTACCTTTTTTGCTTTGGTTTATGATTTCTCAAGGTGTTCCCTTATTTGTGGATTGTGCTAACATTTGTCTTTTGTCTTAATGTGGTTGAAGCAGGATCATTAGAAAATGATTTTTCTTCCTTTTCTAGGTAGGGGTAAAGTTTGCAAACACTCACCCCTGCATCCCATTTGTGGGATTCTACTGGATCGGTTTTTGTTGTTCCATTTTGTACTTAATTATTTTCAATTTCAAACTCCCTCCGTCCCACTATTTTTGTCCCATTTTACATTTTTTGTTCGTTCCACTATTTTTTATCTCATGCAATATTTTGCAATATTTGTTTGGCTCACATTCATTCTTACCTTTTGTTGTTTTTTGACATGAGTATTAACAAGACAATTCCACTTTTATTAACTTCTGTTCCATTACTCTCCGTTTCAAAAATAGTGGGGCAGTGAGTATTACATGCTAGTAACTGCTGCATGTTTGGCAGTTGGCACTCTTGTATGATACTTTATTTCTTATATTATGAGATCGGGGGTGAAACTGTAGTAGCTTGTATTTTTTGCTACTAATTACATGTTTCAGAAACTAAACTCCATGCATTTTCATGAAATGTTTGTTCTTGAATCACAAAAAGATGATTAAATATGTGCCAGATGGACTTACAACTCCTAATAGAATGTTAGTCTTAAGCGTGGCAAAATGTTGGGTTTAGTGAGTTTTATTTATAATTTTTGGATGTAAAACACCATGTGGTCTAAGACTGCCAACCTTATTACAGCGGTTGCAAAGAAGTTGACTCATATAGTCATAGTAGGGACTGGTGGTGGAGTGACGTAGTCTAAGGTAAAGTGGAAACCAGGAAGGAAGCCTACAAGTCTCTGGTAGAAAGTAGCTAGTGATGACTCATGACGAGGAGAGATGGGCAAAACAAGAGAGTATATGACTACAAGGAAGGGAAGTTAAATTGACAGTTACAATGATGAAGACTTCAGCATTTGGATAGTTGTATAAGGACGTAAGCAAGAGAGGATGAGAGATGTACTTGTTTTGATTGGCTAAAGCGAGAAAGCGGAAGACACGTGATCTCGACCAAGTGAGACGTATAAAGGATGAGAATGGGAAGGTGCTGAAGAAGGCGGGAACCATTAAACATAGATGGTAGGCATACTTCCATAGACTTTTGCCTGCAAGAGGGGATGTGGACATCGAGTTGGGTGTGTAACGGTGTTCTGATAGTCACTGGGATTTCATGTATTCTAGGTGTTTTAGATAGAGTGAAGTGGTGGCTATTAGAGAGATGAAGAGGGGGAGGGCAGTCACACCAGAAGAATCCCTATTGAGTTATGGAAGTCTGTTGGAAAAGTGGCGATGATGTGGTTAATGGAGTTGTTTAATGTGATTTTTATAACAACTAAGATGCCCGTGCAGGGGAGGGGGAGCATGGTAATATCGCTGTACAAGGGTAAAGATGATATCCAAAATTGCAATAACTCTAGGGGTTTCAAATTGCTCAGCCATACACCAAACAACTTCCTTAAGGTCTGGGAGTGAGGCTAAGATTGAGTAGTAGTCAAACTCGAGATTCTTCGTAGGATTGGAATAGGAATAAGAGATTGTAAATCAAAGGATCGTGACATGGATAGTAAGATCCTACATATATGTATTCATATACTCCATCCGTCCCCAAACTAAATTTTCCAAAACACAATCCGTACTTCCCCTCTTTCCTGTTCAAGAAATGGAATATGTGGTTGCTAACCACTCTCTCTTGCAAACAGATTTAAACCATGCATTTTTACTATTTAACATGTTGTCTTAAACTCCGTGTCAAACCGTGAAATAAATTTTGGGGACAGTGCCATTTAATTTTGATTACATTCAAAAACAGTGTACAGTGAAGAAAGAAGCAGGAAGTCTGGAATATTCAGATGTAGCACAGAAATATATACGTGTACAGAGACCAATCTAGAGTATTTTTTCATGTTGCAGACACCCTTGATGGAGCTTTGGAAGAACTTGGGAGTATTTTTGAAGGCTTGTAGAAACAGAAATGTGGATGATTTTGCAGGTTGTTGCAGGAGTGGAAGGTAGAAGCCAGATGATTATTAATACTGGTGCGTAAGAAGCTGTAGAGATGCAGTTCGAAAAAAGGAAGAGTCATGACTTTTCGAATTCCCAACAATCTTTTCACAGTAATTCAATCTTCTGAATCGCACGAGCTGGACCGAAGCTACTGATTCAGCGATCCTGAATGGCGTCCCTAGCAATTTCACCGAAATTGTGATTCTTCTTACAATCTGAATTGCAGATCCATTTTTGGAGTGTGGAACTGCATGACTCTTGAGTCAACTTCCGAGTTTGAGTACCTTGAGTACATGGAATGCAAGTCCAGCAAAACACAAAATGAGTCGGTTGTGGAAGTGAATATTGGCTCTCAACCCAGGCCTAAAAAGGATAGATTATGGCACTTTGGATCAATCATTCAAGCTGATGGTGAGATCAATGAGATGTCACTCACCTTATTGGAGCGGGCTGGATGAGTCAGATGCTACTTATGCGATAGAAAAAAAACCGATGAAACTGAAACACATGTTTTATTGAGCAGTGATTAGGCCGGCGGTGTTGTATGTGGCATAGTGTTGGCAAGTGAAAAAAATGCAAAGGGATTTAGGGAGATGTAATAAGAGTTGGAGTGAGTTGTTTACGCAGGACTCGAGCTTTCTGCAGTTTTCCGTGGGCATGATTGTAGATAGGGGCCTTTGGAGGTCGAGTATAAGAGTTGTGGGGTAGGCCTTGATAGGCGCGCACTTGCCTTAGTATAGGGCCTTCAAGGTTTATTAGGCTTTTCGTTTTACGGTGTTTGCTATGTGGCTTGTGCTGTTTGTTAGAAGTGTTCCCTTGTTTTGTCCTTTTGTGTCATCTGCTACTTACCCCATTGACGACCATCTCCTTTTCATCTTTCCTTTCATGTTTGTTTTCTAAGTTGGGGGTCTTTTGAAAACAACCGTTCTACTTTTGGGAAGGGGTAAGGTCTGCGTACATCTCTCCTCCTCAGACCCCACTTATGGGATATATTTTGGGCTTTTTGTTGTTGTTGTTGTTTGTAGATTCTAAAACAATTAAGTAATCCCTTTATGTTCCATTACAAATGATATTAAAAAACCGATACAAGAACAACAACAACAACCCAGTTAAATCCCACAATAGTAGGGTCTGTGGAGGGTGTGTGTACGTAGACCTTACCCCTACTCGAAAGTAGAGACTAGAGAGGCTGTTTCCAAAGAGACCTTCGGCTCAAAGACCACAGGTAATCACGTATGGAGCCCGAGCCCTATATTTAAGACATAGAGCGGCTGTTTTCAGATTAACCATGAGGCCATGATGAACGTCGAAACTTAACTGTTAAAAGAAGCACAACAGTTTAAAGATTCATTTTGCTTTATTCCATCATACTCCAAAGCCCAAAAATAGTGAATCTTTGGCTCCAATCCATTTAATAAAATCCATCTAGTCTTTCCATCAACAAATATGTTTTCATGGATGGATATCACATCCATCTATTTTGTATTACTATACATGTGTAGAGATGGTTAATCAATGCAAACAGTGATTTTGACGTAAACTTGTTCGTGGGCCTTCAATTGCATCACCCTCAAGTTTTCCAATTGCATTTAGTTTTGTAACTCTAATCTATTTCTTGTTATTAGTTTTGAAATGTCCTATGTTTCTATTAATAAAATTAGGCTAACAGATGTCTTTTAGGGAATGAGAGCTACGGAGCTACCTCACTCTCTTGCCTTATGTTAGTTGCAAATTAAATCACCAAGCTACGATATTACCACACATTTATCAAGTCATAGTTTCTATTCACTGCTTATTAGTAAGTAAATGGTTCAATGCTTATCATGTCTATAGGAGAGACGGACAATGGCTCCATTAGAGGTCATGGAGTTTGTGAACACTCTTCGGAAAACATTCTCTAGCCTCGAGGTCTGTTTGTAAAGATACCTGTTCTTACTAATTATTGATGATTCTTTATAAATTAGCATCTGAAGTTGACTGCAGATATTTTTTCATGTAATAATTTCCTGGATTACTGTCCATTTGTTTATTGGATCTTTAAAGTTGAAACCCTGCAATATTTTTTTTTTAAATTTCTAACTTCTATTATCTGTGTACATTTCATCTCTCTATCTAGGCACTTCGTATTCCTACAATTGCTGCTATTGATGGTGCAGCCTTGGGCGGTGGACTGGAAATGGCGTTATGTTGTGATCTTCGCATTTGTGGTAAATTATTATTATGATTTTTGACTCATGCAGATCAGCTATCATCACTTCCTTTCTGAAGTTTTTTTCTTAAATGTTACAAGGGGAGGGTTCTGTTTTGGGCTTGCCAGAAACCGGGCTTGCAATCATACCCGGGTATGTCTCAAGTGATATTGTCATAATCTAAAAGAACAACAAACCCTGTAATCCCAACTTTGTTGGGGTTTCAGAGGTTAAGATGTATGCAGTAAATTGTGTAAACAAGAGAGACTGTTTCTGTTAGACTCTTGATTCATTGCTGCATTTAATGCTCAAAGCTTCATCAAAGGTAAGAAGGAAAGTTTAATGCACCGTTTTGATATGGTCCATTATTTTCCCAGACCTAATAAATTGTCAATAATGACTCTTTTAGCTCTATTGTAATGTGCAACCCCTGCACTTAGTTCTGTGTATGACCAGTTCATTGAGTTCTTGAATCTGTTTCTGATTTATCAGTGGTGTTCTTAGCTGTTTTGGACAAATGGAATACTTGGGCCTGGATGTTCAATGTTTTGAAATATGAAATGCTTAGAGCTGAAAGACATCTTGCTAAGCCATATCTTTAAACCGGTCTTTTACAGAGCTGGTGGGTCACAACGGCTTCCTAGATTGGTTGGAAAATCAAATGCAAAAGATCTGATATACACTGCCCGAAAGATTAATGGAAAAGAAGCCTTATCAATGGGTATGTCATAAACTAGAATTGCTGGTGTTTTTTGTATTGTTCCAAGATTCCCAGTATTAGTAAAAAACTGTTTTATTCAGGGCTCGTCAATTATTGTGTTCCTGCTGGCGAAGCTCGTCTAAAGGCACTTGAAATTGCACGTGATATAAATCAGAAGGTTTGAATTGCATTGTTTTGTCGAATGCGTTTATCCCTTGTGACTCTTTTTCACCAACTTGTCTACATTCAACAAGCAAAATGATCGAGTTTTGATACATAGAACACACGCTGTGTACAAGTGTGATTTCTAATCATCACTCTATTGCTCCTCTATCCTTTTCAAACTTAAAATTTTACTTCTACCACAGCACAGGTTGTATACATCTTCTGGCATTTGGTTCTGCTTACTAGGCCCAGTTGTTTTTGAGCACTGGGCATGTACTATTATTCCTATAGAGTTGAAATCTATAAATGATGTTCGAGCAGGACAAAAATAGTGCGTACCAAGGGTTACCTTGTACAAAGTATTTTTTAAAAAAGGTAGCTTGGTGCATAAAACATTCCCGCTTAGGGAGGACCTGGAGAAGTGTACCACCATAAGGGTGTGATATAGGCATGCCTTAACTTGCATATTTGCACGGATTAACTTGTATGCACGTACCGTAATGTCTCCTGTTACAGGGACCACTTGCATTAAAAATGGCAAAACATGCTATCGACGAAGGATATGAGTTAGATATGGAGTCAGCTTTGGCTTTGGAGGAGGATTGCTATGGTCAACTCTTGACCACAAAAGATCGGCTAGAAGGGCTTGCAGCATTTGCCGAGCGAAGAACACCGAGATATACGGGTGAATAGACACACCAGAATAGCAACATCAATTGCTCACCAATGAGTCTTTAAGAATTCAAAGCAACCATACATTGTTTTCTTCCCTTTTTTTTTGGGTATTTTTCTGATTCATTATCATGTTGCAGTACATCTGAGCAATTGATCCCCCCAATTTCTTTCTGTGTTTCAATATATGATATGCAGCTCCTTACATCCTGCCTACTTATTACAGAGTACATGTATTTTGTTTAAACCTCGGATTGCCAGGGGAAGGTTTTCTTCCAAGTTCCAATGGTGGACTCAAATCACTCGATTCATAATGACAAGAGTCAAGAACCTTATAAATTATAAATATAATAAATGCTCGATTCATAATGACAAGAGTCAAGAACCTTATAAATTATAAATATAATAAATGCTAGAAACTCACGATGTTTGGCATCAAATATTTTACAGACATGCACAAATAATATGTTACAGACATGCAGAAACAGTGACTATAGGTGCGTGACATACAATGTATGCGAAACATCTGGTGTCAAATCTGATATGTTTCTAGCATGATTCTATAAAAACTCCCTCCATCCCAATCTTTTTCTTTGGTTTCTATTTGGCACAAATACCAAGTGAGATAAGGAAAGGTCTAAAATACTCCCCACCCTGAATTGTAAAAAGTGAAGTGTTGAAAAATTGATGAAATTAAAGCCATCTTTGCACTAAAAAAATTAAAGCCATCTTCATCCATTGAGATGGATCTCACTGCGAATGGATTTCTCTCTTCATCGGTCAAATTTCACTGCGAATTTGGTTAGATCTATTTCTTCTTCACCTTTCTTCATCGTTGTCGCCGATGCCTTCTTCCTTTATATCTCCATTGTCCTACTCCTCACTTCTCCATCTTCATTGATGCTGCCGCCATTGCCTTTTTGTCGACTTCTTTGTCTTGACGTCTGGTAAGATCGTTGGACTTGTATCACGTTGCTGCCACCGCCATCACCCGGCAAAATCTGATTATATCTCTTTAGATCTTGTTGGATTGAAGTGTCTAGTTAGATTTCTTTGATGATGGTGTGGTCATCCTTGTTCGATTTTATGAGTTGTGACAGTGGTGGGATTGGGATTTCGAGCAATTGGGTGGGGGAGATGAAGATTCTAAAATTTTAGATGAAGGGTAAAAGAGACATTTGAACACGTAGTTTTTACTAATAAAGGAGAGTGAACAAAAATAGTGGGACGATCCAAAAAAATACTGGACAAAAATAGTGGGAAGGAGAGAGTATTATATATTGAAAGACTTTTTAAAATGGTTTCTGATGGGTGTATTCCACCCAGACCGCAACCCGGTTCTGGTCCATCCGGTACCAACTGGAGACCAGGAACGGCCTATGGGATATTTTCGCACCATATCGGGTCTGGTCCCATCGAACCACCTGGAGTGGCTGCGTGGGCACCCGACCAGGTAGTTTTTCATCACTAAGAGTTGGTAAGGAAGTGAGACAGCCCATCCAGCACGCGCACTAGCACCCATCATGAAAGCTCAACATATTAGAAGGTAGCAATTTGGGAATGACCTGGTCAGACCAGATTCCTCTGCACCAACTAGTGTATCCAGGCATTCCCAATCAAACACTATGCACCAAGAAAGACAGTCGCAGAGAAAATCGGCCAGGGAGAAGAGACAAGCGCTATGAGACAAACAATGTCAGATCGAGTATTCTGTCACATGACAAGGCATGGGTGGTGGCCCTGACCCCTAGCTTTCCTAAAAATAGGCTTGTAACCTTCAGTAGAAGGGGGAGATAAAATTAAATCTTTCTAAACACATATTATGTAATATCTTTATATACTCTTCCCGTACCACCTAATAACAATTGGAATACAAGTGTTACTACATATAGTTCTCCCTGTCAAGTTTTGTTTACTCTGCCCTTTTAGTCTCTATACTCAGAAAAAACCATCATTTTTGGTGCCACCCGTGGGACCATTAGGATTTCCTTTTTCTGTTTAGTGGAAATTCACTCACAAAAACAAAATAAAGCCACCATGTCAACCAGCTAATAAAACACCACCACCAACTCCATTTAGGGGGAGGCCGCCATTGAAGGAGTGGCAGTTCTAACTATCACGTCCTAGGCTCTCTCTACCACGGTACGAGGAGGCTAGAGAGGGACAAATGGCGCAATACGAGGACATGCCAGACTGGCCTTGCTAAGAGGATTCACTGAATTCAAGATGACCGGATATTTCGGGCGGAAAATGCCGGCGTTGATCTCCTTTCAGAATTGACGCAGTCAGCTCTAGGGCATGTTTCGAAACTGGCTAAGGTGGAGGTCCATGACCAGGCAAGCATAGATAAATTGGAAATGACCATGATACGCAGACGAGGCACTTCCATGAGTAAGTTTCATGGCTTCCAAACCACAAGGCAAATAAATCTTTACAGTGCAAATTTTGTATCAAAATTGTATCATGATGAGTTACAATTAATTGTTTAATTTATTTTAAATTTAAAAAAAAATTCTAGAGTACTTATTGGTAATGTTGCCATTAATTTTATAGTTTGAGGTAATTTGAGGATAGAAACAAGACAACAGGTTGGCCATAAAATTCGTTTTTAAGATATTGAAAGATATCCTGAGTAATCGGTAAACTATCCCCAACGAGGGGAAATGAGTTCCTCGGCTTCCTCGCCGCACCGTTCTCGCAGCGGCGGCGGCGGCGAAAGACCCAGGTTCTTCGATGCAATGGCCAAGAATCTCTGCTGGGCAAAGGCTGATATTGTGCCCGGCCGTCATCCAGAGAGGTGGCGCAAAGACGCCGCCGGAAACATTGTTTGCAAGCGCTTCTGTAACTGTCAAGGCTGCCTCTGCTTTGAGTATGATCACATAGTTCCCTTTTCCAAAGGTTTTCCCCTTCTTCTTCTAATTAGTACTCCTTATTATTCATTCCCTTAGGTTTAAATGTTCTCCTATTTTGTTTCCGAGTGTTTTCTTATCTTTATATGGTAAGAATCTGAGTGCCAAGTAAGTGTCTGAGCATTCAAACATGCCAACTAGTGTGTCTGTTATATATTTCACTCTTTCAAAAGTTAGGCTTGGCTGAAAAAATGAGTGCCCTTGATATCTAAGGAAGTGAAATTAGCTGTGTATTCAGTTAAATATGTGGATCTACAACCGATTCCAATGTGCTACTTGTATTTAACACTGCTTTTTATCAATGAAAAGATGATGGATCCTATTAAACGTCTTACTCCATTCAAATTTAGTTGTACACTTTCCCATTTTTGTACATCTCGAATTAGTTTTCACTTTGTAAAAAAATATGATGTGTTATCTAAATTTCCCTCTAGAAATCATTAGGATTTTTGACGTTAATGAATGACAAACTCAATAAACGAGCTTATTTCATGTTTTACACTTATTCCTTAAGTATGAAATATTTTGGAAAGTGGAGAACAAAATCCGGAAAGTGGGAGTTAAAAACATCATGTACCATGTAGCATCTAATAGTGCTAGTTGAATTATTTTTGTATAATTTTCCCTTTAGCTTCAAAGGTACATTACAACTACAAAAAACTGTAGTTCGCTAGTTGCACACTTCAATTTCAACCAACTTGCCTTTTCTCAATGTTCACATCTCCATCCAAAACTTCATCTTTTTGTGTAATAGAATTAAGAGTAAATTCCATAAATGGTCTTTAATTACAGTTGATTTTCCATATTTAGTCCCCAATTTTAAGATATCACATAAATGGTTCTCAACTTATAAAAATTATTCCATATTTGGTCCTTCAGGAACTATATATGGAAAAAATAATGTCATATTTGACCTAAAGGACTATTTATGAAATAGTTTTCAAAAATCGATGACCATTTATGTTATATCTTAGAATTGGGGACTAAACATTGAAAACCACTTGTAATTAGGGACTATTTATGGAAATTACTCTAGAATTAACAACAACAAACCTAGTGAAAATCCCACGGGTGGGTGTCACACACCTTACCCCTAACCTATAAAGAGTAGAGAGTTTGTTTCTGAAAGGCCTTTGCCTCAAATAGGAAAGGCAGAAGTTGGTACTATTAAACAATCAAAAGGAGAGTACAATAGAACCCAAATATCTTAAGTGATCGTTGACAGAGATATTTTGATCTTTTAGAGACACAAAACTCTGATGATTGTTAATGTCATTACTACATTTGCATTCCATATATTCCATTTTACTTCTATTGATTCTCAAGCCTTTAGACACTAACGTTCTCCTCCACATTTCTAACTTCTCATTAACACACATTCTAGTCTCATCTATAAAAAATGGATGGACACAAAGATAATCCTTGCTATCTTCGGATAGAAATATGAAATTAATGATGTCATTCCTATACTGCTTCTTACATTTGTGCTTAGTTCATCATACATATCCTTCACGAGGCTTATACACTTTTTGGGCTTTTTGAATTTTGGTACCATCTGTCAAGAGAATGCCTATTTTATTTACTCACTTGCTCATTGTCAGATAAGACCTTCTGAGTTTCTGTAGAGGGCTATTAGTGAGGAGGGCATAGAAGCTTGCGCCTTTTATTAAGGGTCCGTTTGGTACACGGAATTGATGGAATTGGAATTGAATTGGAATTAAAATTCCATGGGATTCAATTCCACAGGAATTGAATTCACCAATTCCAAATCATTTTTTGCACTACCAATTCCAAATCTGCATAATTTTTGTGCTACCAAACACTATAATTGGAATTGGAGTCCTCAATTCCAATTCCATAGTTTGAATTCCGTGTACCAAACGGGGCCTAATAGTTCATAGTTGTTTGTTATTGCCAACCTGATAATTAGATTATTTGAGAAGTACCGTTGCGTTGCAGGTGGTGAATCCACATGGGATAATTGCCAGATACTACAAACTAGAGTGAATAGGTTCAAGTCAGACAAGGATCAAGTTGATCCAGCTCAGTTGAAGGGCTACTCTTGTGACATTAATTTTACCGGTATAACTTTTCAATTTATGATATATCTTTACCATGAGGCCATGTGGCTTTTACTTCTTTACTCATTTTGAATTTTTTGTATCATATTCTTCAAGGTTTTTAAGCCCTGTTTGGTCATTTCCACAGAGTAAAGACAAAGGGTGTGTTTCGTTCCCATTTGTGGGGGGTGCTTTTGTTGATTTTAGAATCACAATCACCGAAGCTACCTATTGTGTTTCTATTTTGGCCAAAATGAAATAGGTGATTCCGTTTTCCAAAATGTGATGTTGTAAATCACGCTCCCATGATTCTACCAGAAACGGGTAGGGTTAAACTAGGTTTTGCAAATCAACCCCACCCTTTCCCCCCTTCATGAGTAGCCTGATTATAGTGTTTGTATAATCACCTAATATTAATTAAAATCAAAATAACCTCTTTTAAGGCAATGGCATAATACAAAAAAAGCTACCCAAAATGATATTCCTCTGAGCTAGTAGTAGTACTCGGTATCATTTAAATCTCAAATCTCTGAGCTCCTCATCCGTCTATCATCTTTTGAAATTCTTCTTATGTGAAGGACCTATAGTTTGAAATAGTGGTCATGATACATTTAAACTGACAACTCTCTCTTGTTATGGATTGCATCTATCAAGCATCAATCAGTATCTTCTGTTCTACCATATACTTAACTGTTTATCTTCTTTATGCTAGATGATTACTTTTCGAAAGAAACATTGGATGATTTTTTTTATAGGTATTTGCTGCTCAGCCTATCTTTAAACAAATCACATGGGTATATTTTGCGCTTTTCAGAATTTCAATTTAATTAAAGAACCTGGTCCATATTACCCTAAGCAATATCTCTAAGTTTCTGTTTTCAAAATTTCAACTTCACATGACTCGTAAAGAAAGGATTAATTCTAGCGCTTCAGTTTACCATTTGAAATAAGCTCCACAAGAAGTGGGTCATAATTGCCCACCTGTTGTACTTCAAAGTTCAAATACTCCGAAAAGTTACTCCTTCAAGCCCAGAGAAAGGATCAATTCGTGAAATACATTGTTTTTACTGCCTCAGCTTTTGCTACGTTATTTACGATTTAGTTTTCTCATCAATCTTCATATATTCACTGTTCATTGTCGTTTCTAGAGATTTGAAGTCCATTAATGTGATTAGAATGAGAAAGTTACTTGTAATCCATAACCGACTAGATTATTAGATGCATGTGAAATTACGGAGGAAAAAAAAACAGGACATTTGCTTAAATGTGTCCCTTGCTGTTTATGTTTGTTTCCTCACATGATTTTCATAGTTTAAGAGCGGTGGACAGATAAGGAGCTGGATATAATAGAGATGGCTGTTTATGGGGACGTGATTAGGCCAGGAAAAGAGTGCCGTTGCCGAACGGTTGCTGAAATGCTTGGCTCATACAAATCTAAAGACAAATTAGCTGCGTGTAAGCTTCCCCAGACAGGTGAATGAATCCACTTCCAGAAAATTGCATCTTCAATCGAAACCATATGACACTCTTGCAAATTACATTCTTTGGTTCTCAATCTGCCTTCTTGTGTCTTGAGGTGAGTTCAGAATACCATTATTTGTACACACTATAATACTTCCTCTCTCTTTAGAAAATGCAATGAATGATGGTTTAACACTATATATTCACTCACGTTTCATTATGTGGTGATTTATACATAAAAGAAAAATCTTTATGTGGGTTTTTGTTAGATTCGTCTTAATATAAATTCATGTAATATTAAAGAAATTCATGATTTTTTATGTATTGGCAAACGCAAAAAATCTAAATCTTGCATTTATTTCAAAATGGAGTACTATAAAAAATGGAGTCCTATCAAGTGTTGGCGTGAGGGTGTCTGTTATGAGATGTATGAAAAAAAACAAAGGAAACATTCACCTGACCACCACCACTAGAGCATCATAAGCTAGTAGGTTGGTTGTATTTGTGGATTACAGATTTGACTACTAGCGTCTAAATGATTTTGAAACATTGATTGTGTCTGATAACTTCATGTAATAGAACCTTGGGAGACTATTTAAAAATTGCCCTGAAATTTCATGCATTCTGTTTTAAATGTTCCAATTGCCGGTGTTTGGATGGGATACCATTGGAAAAATAAATGTCTGTCTATGAGTTTTGTCATCCAGTTGTGCTATTGTGGTTTTAAGGTGCACATGTAAAATGTGAACTTATTATTGAATCTTCTTAACACCAAGCCCAAACATTTGGTTTTAAAATTATTGACATTTACAGAGTAATAGGCATTAAATGCATTAACATTGGATATAATTATCAATAGGGATACTAACGGTTTTAGCCATTAATGAACGTATATTTTCTTAAAATATATTATATGAAAAAAAAACCTAGAAAGATCAGAGAGAAGATATCCATGGCCGATTGAGGAGCCTCAATAGAGGAGCAACGATGGAGGAGGCTGTGATTAGAAAATGTCTTCTGGATCTCAAAAGCGGAAGACATTCCGGAAATTAGACCTCATTTTTCATTGACCAAACTTCCATCTCTTCCGGAAATTAGACCTCATTTTTCATTGACCAAACTTCCATTTTCCTAAGTTGCCAAGCACTGAAAAATGAGGAAAAATGATTTCTGTAAGTCATTTTCTACCTTCCCAAACAGAACCTAAATATACCACAAACACTACGCTTCAAGTAAAATGAACACTCGGACGCTTCGAGTAACCTTAGAAAGAGTCTAACAAAAGTTACAATGTAAAATAAGATTAAGACAGTTGAATACTTTAGCAGGATGGATACGTAACCCAGTCAATTATTGCTCCACAAACAAATAGAAAGTATTAAAAACAGATAAACAAACATGAAGTTATTTATTAGCACTTCTTTTGCATGGATCAAATCCTGCAAAAGAGTGTACCCTTGATGCAATCGTCATCTGAAAAAATCATCACAATTTAATTTTTTTTTGTTAAACTGTGCAACAATTTGACCATATTGGTACCATTGATAAGTTTAAGCCGGATTAGTTATCCAAGGCTTTAGATGGAAGACAAATATTGACTACATTTACATATATGCTCCTAATGCAAGAACATCTACAACTAAGTTACTGATTGCCTTGGTTGTCGAGTCGTACATAACATGTTATTCACCAAACAAATCGATCTGAAAACCACATTCTTGAATGGTAAGCTGAAAGAGGAGATTTCTATGAATCAATCAGAATGTTTCACTATGCCTGGTAGTAGGCATAAAGTGTGAAGGGTGCAGATTGGGAATGCCTTTGTATGGTTTAAAACAGGCACCTAGTTAGTGTCATCAAAGGTTTGATAACATTGTGTTGTCACATGATTTTATGTTGAATCAAGATGATAGATGTGCATATAACAAATTGAATGCCTATCATAAATGAGCCATAATTTATCTATAAGTTGATGACTTCTTGATAATTGGCACAAACCTATATCAAGTCAATAAAACTACCAAGTTTGTCACCTAAATTCTCCATGAATGATATGTGGCAATATGGGAGGCAGACGTAATCGTAGGCATTAGGATTGAATGTGGGAACAGTGGGACATCAATCACAGTCTCATTATTTTGGAAAAGTGTTGAAGAAATTCTGTTTTGGAAATTGCTCTATAGTATGCACCCCTATGGATCCTAGCATTGAACTTTACCTAGCAAAGGTAAACTTATACTCCCTCCGTCCCGGTCTCTAGCTAGGTTCCTTCCGCTTCGAGTTACGATGTTTGGCTAAAGTTATTTTAAATTCACTTCATATGAAAATAGGTGTGGAATTAAAAAATAAAAAATTATATGCTTAGAAACTATATCAAAAGATCTACAAAATAAGTAGTGACAAGACTATTTTATTTTATCAAATAATCAAAAAAAAATAGATAAAGAAAGTAATAAATGTTTGACTAGTGAAGAGTAACTTAGAAAAATCTAGAGGGGCGGAGTATCATAGTTTGAATACAAAAGGGCTATTGGCTATTTAAAATATATGTCATGATTAGCACAAGCCTGACCTATCATTTGATGGCAGATCAAGTAAGTAAACTAGCGATCAAGGTACTGATCAATGGTAAACTATGAGGATTTTATTCAAATAATAGAGGAGAACCATGGACAATGGTTTGGTGTAATCAGATAATCTTCCAGCTTTTGAAGGATTTTCTGATGCAAGTTGAATAACGAATATAGAAGCTTATTCCTCGACTAGTGGATATGTATTTCTATCAAGAGGAATAGCTATCTTATGGGCTTCAAGGAAGCAAACTTACATCAACACGTCAACAATGAAATCTGGTTTTGTTGCTTTAACTATAGCTGGTAAAGAGGCTGAGTGGTTAATAAACATAATGCATGAAATCCATTGTGACCAAAACTGATATCACGAATATCAACTAAAATGTGATAGCGCTGCCACCTTGACTAAGGCATGTAGCCAAACGCACATTGGTAAGTCTAGACACGAGTGTTATACATATCATGATTTGTGATCTCATCAAAAGTGGAGGGATGTCGGTGGAGTTCACTTTGAACTCAATTTAGCCAACCATTTAACCTAAAACTTAAGAAGAGATCTTGTATGTTATATGTCCCACATTAATATACTAGTAAAACTAAAAATATAGGATGAAAAAAAATTTCTCCAAGAGTATTTATCAAAATAAACTGAAAGAACAGTTTAGCCCAAGTAAGATCATGGGTATTGAGATTGTGTAGAGCTAATTATAAACTCATAGGTTACACTCAAACAGGAAATGTGGTACCTAGCTTTGCTTGTACTTTGTGAGTAATTGCAACTATACTTTCTCTATGAAGCATGTAGCAATACGAAAAATGTAGGAAATCTGCCATCCTTCACCCTGAAACATTTATATTTGACAAAGGCACAACTCACAAGAGGCAAGAACATTGTCATATGAATATGCTCATATATACATATTCCTTTCAAGAACATTGTTATATGAATATGCTCATATATACATATTCCTTCATTTTCCATATCAATATGCTCATATATACATATTCCTAAGTTTAACCTTTCAAGAACATTGTCCTAAGTTCAACCTTTCAAGAACATTGTCATTTGAATATGCTCATATATACATATTCCTTCATTTCATATTAGCTGTCTACTAACACTTTCTTGATACATTAAAGAATGAATGAATGTAGACATACATTATGTCTACATTCATCTATTTTTCAATGTATCAAGAAAATGTGTTAATAGACAGTATACGATTCCCTTCAACACGATACATTTCTATTAGGCTTTAGACGCCCTTGTACTAATTTCCCAGCACCACCCTTGATAAGTAAGGTATACCCTCGGTCTCTAGCTCAAAAATGAGAAAGGTCAACCTCTCCATGCAATAAGAGCATGAACAATGGTGCGGCAAAAATGAAATGCCACACGGTGACGTGGAATATTACAACCAATAAAAAACAGTCTAGTCACCGTGTGACAAGTTAGTGAGTGACAAACTCTGCAATGGCAAGTCATTACTTTTACCACTTTTAATTTTTTTGATATATTTTAATTAGTAAAAATTATTTTACGTACCATAAAAATTTAAAAGATAAAAATATAAACAGAAAAAAAAATTAGTTTAAAAAAAAGAAAATAAAAATAAAATAAAAAATAAAAAACAAACTCAAGCATTGACACGCCCATGCCACGATTTGAAGAGTGGAATGCTTTGCCATTCCATGCCCATCATGGCAATTAATGAGGTGGCAGCATATGTGTCAACCATGGCAAAAATTTCCCACGCCATTGTTGATGCTCTAATAAACAAAAAAGAGCAACACTCTTCTTCATTACACTTCTCCTTCCTAAGTTGTCTTATTAATACTCTTATGTTAGTTGGAGAATTGTGAATAGTCCCATAACTTTTTTGAATAAAAATATAACCCAACTAGTCACAAGATTGGGCTCAATGTAGTGTAGAACACAGTCATTTAAGGTTGCTTGAATACACAATTACCAAACACTAATGATGTGCTACCTTGAAATAAAGTTGAAAAATCTATCTGAAAAATTAGTTTGGGTAGGAGTGAGTGGTATTTGTTTATGCAAGGCTACACGTAGAATACTAAAAGGACTAATTGATGTTCACGCCGATTTCAATAATACCATAATCACTGTTACAGATGTACAAGGACACGTAGTTCAAGGTCCTCTGCCGGTATTTCTGGATTGCATTTACAACCTTATGGAAGATTGTGAACACTTCTTCTCAATCTTTTGCAATGTCAATAATGTTAAGACAAAAAAAGGGGGCATGATTCTCTTATATACATACAGTTTCAACTGGGGTTGAAAACATGAAACCAATACTCTAATATGAATCATTTAGCCATATTACGGGGTTCATTTCATACCAGCAAAGCATATAAACTAACAATAGTCGTGCAAATTCATGAACTGACTCTCGAAACTATTGTAACAACGACGAGTTTATGAACATATAACACCAGTTACTTGAGAAAAATGAAAGAAAACAAGCCCATATCAAACTGGAAAAGAACACATGACAAAAATGAAAAACTAAAACAAGATACAAATTGAGCACTGTGCGATGAGAAGTGGCATAGGAAAAAGATGGCATCAATTATCTAGTAAATGTAGCAGGACGAATTTAAATTGGTAGCAAGTTAAACAGCAGATATATCACACCCTAAAGAAGGTTTGTTTGAAATTCAATCCTAAGAGATATTTGAAATTACATTAACTTTTATTCTTGAGAAGAATGCACTTCATCTAGAACAGAGACGCTAGAATTCACCAATCCACGAACTCCAAATGAAGTAAATTCCCTCGCAAACAATTTTCCCCACTATTTAGATACCAAGAATTTCAAGATTCTATTATATGGTAAAAGTTATTCAAAGCAAGACATCCCCTTCAAACTTAAGGATGACGCTCAAAACCCCTGCTAAATAGTCCATTGAAGCCGACGAGGCTACTTATGCAGTTTTTCAAACAACAGTTATACTCTAACTCAAACTGGGAATACGATACTTGCAATAGTGCACAAACAAATAACATCTCATTTTTTTATAATATATCCGCTAGTAAAAGTAATAACGTTCTACATTGTCAAAGTGATGTACAGAATTATTACCAGAGTATTATTATAGCCCCAGGCAAAAGCAGTAGTCAATGATAAAAACTATGATTCCGGCATAACCACATTGCGTACTTTGAATATTAGCTTGAACTAGGGGGCTTAAATGTGTAAGGCTGTGGGAGTACCAACGGACCTCTCCTTGACTCATTATCATCATCCAACAGCCTGTGAACCCTCTTCTTGGCACAGTACTGCCTATCGAAGTGTTTTACCTGCACACACAAAATCACATAAACAGAGCAACATACATAACAAGGACATCAAGGCCTACATTTGATCACTTAAGAGTCCAATAGTTTCTCGAAATTGCGGAACTAACCCAGCTGGGTCGGCATTGCTTCACAAATTCACCCCTGGATTTTTTGCAATCCACCGGGTAAAGCAGGCCAACAGTTGCAATTTCAGTGGCTTTCTTGCGAGACTCTTTCTCCAAGCATGCATAGAATTCGTCGCGCGCCTATTTGGACCCCATTGATTTGTACGAATTAGATTCTTATTCATTTAATTCTTCAATAATACTCCGGATATAACAGGATAAACATGAACCCCAGGAAAGAATTGCAGTCGAAAAGTGGAAAATGGGAAGAGATGGGGGTGTGTGTGTACCTTATAGCATGATAGTCGAGCTGCATAGAGAACATCAGTTTGGACTTCGTTGGAGACTTGCGTGGAGTCGGATTCAGACGCCATGGATTCAGTGAGGAGAAATTTTTAAGCGATGTTTTGAGTCATTCTAGGGCGAATAATTGTGGCAATGTGGCAGGTTTCTTGGGAAACAAACAGGTTGCCCGGGTCGGGTTGAGATTCTATTCCTATCTTATCACATGAAATTTTTTTTTTCTAATTTTATTATTTAAAAATAAATAAATATTTATTTAAGTAGTAAATGAAATGTTTATTTTGTTCATATATAGGTCCACCATATAACTTGTCTTCAAGTTCGTGCAACTTTTAAATTCAAAATTTATATTCGTCTAATTTTATTTTTTTCAAATTAAATTATACTCCCTCCGTTCCAAAATACTTTTCTTGATTTGACTTTTTGGTATTTCAAGAGAAGTGTTTTTTTTTGTTTTTGACCTTCCAATATTACCCTTAGAGTTAGTAAAAATAAAGAAATGTTTCAAATCAACTGATAGTGATTAATAAGTGGAAAAATCATATGTATATAGAGAGAACTCAGAGAAGTACACCAAATCCATCATCAATAGTTAATGCATTCATTACATCAAAGGAATAAGGTTGGGATTTAAGCCTACAGGCCCTACACGCCATATTTGAGAGCCAAATTGAAATTCTAAAATTTCAACTAAAATGTTTAAATTTCTCACAAAAACTAAAAATAAGAACTAACTAATCTTCTTATAAGGGCCTATTCTTTAGGACTTGAACTCTTAACTTCCAGTTCCTTCTAATTTCTTCCAGTTTTTTCTAGTTTTTTCCAGCTTTTTCCAGTTTTTTCCAGTTTTTTCCAGTTTCTTTCAATTCCTTCCAGTTTCTTCCGGTTCTTCCAGTTCCTTCCAGTTTCTTCCAGTTTCTTCCAGTTCCTTCCAGTTTCTTCTAACTTTTCTCATTTTCTTCAAATTCTTTCTACTCCTCAACCAATTACTCTAAAAATGATATATTTCAATGTGATGATTATTGTTGTTGTTGTTGTTGTTATTATTATTATTATTATTATTATTATTATTACAACTGTTATATACTGTTATATTCATAACTATAGTTTATAAATTATTTTTTTCATCTCACTATTTTTACGATTCACACTTATTATTTTTTTTTCAACTTTTTAATAAGAATAAGACATTTTTTTGTATATTAGTCTACATGATAAAACAGGAAAACATCAATATGTTAAATTATACTAAAAAATTATGGATAAGATAGTTACACTGAATGTTTTATTAATATAACTTTTTATAAGACATCTCATTTTTTCCTTTATTACTTAAAAATTGCTCATTTTTCTAATTTTTATAAAAAAAGTTGTAAGTCAAAAGAACTTAGAGAAAAGGACTCAAATATATGTAAAACATAAAAAATGTAAACAAAAAAGTTCTATGTCTTTATTCCAAAAATACGAATTCAATGAAAATAAAATGTCAATCATGAAAGAAACAATAGGTTTGATTATGTGACATGTATGATATTTAGCACAAAATCTTTTAATATATAAATTATAATTACAAATATATTATTTATAATAAATACTGCATAAATAAATTGAGGTGCAATATAACTACACAACCTTTTTAAAGTTTAATAATAATAATAATAATAATAATAATAATAATAATAATAATAATAATAATTTATAACAACAAGAAGTTAAAATAAATATTTTTAAAGTTCTTTTTAGGTTTTCAGTTTCTTCCAGTTTTTTTCAGTTTCTTCCAGTTCCTTCCAGTTTCTTCTAGTTTTATCCAGTTCCTTCCAGTTTCTTACAGTTCTTCCAGTTCCTTCCAGTTTTATCCAGTTTTTTCCAGTTCCTTCCAGTTTTTTCCAGTTTCTTCCAACATCCAGCTCTTTTTTTACAGTCCTAAAGAACAGGCCCTAAATATCATAAGTGAAGCATTCAAAACATTAACCCAAAATATTCTCCACAATTAATGGAGGGTATTCAATAGCCTCCCACACCACTTTTAGAATCACATACAACCCCTCTTTCTCTTTTCATTTTCATCCCCCATTTCCCATTCAGAATCAACACATGCTCCCTTTTTAGCTCTTTCACAACTTCAAAGTTCTACGACTGGTACATATGCACATGGTGATGGTACACTACTTTGCGTTGTAAGTATTCCATTTTTCACCTTCACTACTCTTGAAACACAATTACCAAATACTGCAAGCATTAACAGGACAATAATAAATGAATAACGTAGAAAACATATTATAGATGTACTCCTAGAAAGTGCAAAGGATGGCCAACCTCAGAAGAGTACTTGGCAGTTTCATCACTCTAGTATAAGAGTTCAACATTTCATCATACACAGTGTAAGGGTAAAAATGCAATTAGGTCAACCTATTGATGGTTATATGTAAGTGGAAGGCTAACTCAGTTTTGAGGAAGGGTAAAAATGCAATCAGGTCATCCTATTGGTAAGCCAAGGTTTAGTGATGATGGTTCATTGTAAAAGGAAAGAGAGCTATGGGAGAAGATATGGGAGATATTGTGTATATATTACTTTCCTTTTTAGTTGTTTCCTTGTATAGAGTTTTCCTTTATTAACTAGGATTCTCCACTATATATGTAACGGAGGGTTGTACATGGTAGACACAGAAATAATACGAGTAATTTTCCTCCTAAACAATTCTTTCATGGTATCGGAGCCAAAACTCTAGGAATTTCCGCACGATCGCCCGACATCGCGTCCATCGATCGTCGCTCGTTGTTGCCGAGAAGACCGGAACGGTCGACCGTCTGTTCAGAACGGTCGAAGACATCGACCGTCCCGACGGCAGAATTCTCAACTGCTGCTGTTTTTGATCCAATTCTTGAATTTTCTCATCTGGTATGTTTGGAGAAGCGCCTATGAAGATTATTTCCAACAAGAAGAATGAAGATCGAGAGGAGGAGGAGGTCGGGGTGCGACGTCGTCGTATCTCTCCTTATGATCTATCTCCGAGCGACAATCCGGGTATGATTTTGACCCATGTTGTTCTCAAGGGAGATAATTATGACGAGTGGTCCAAATCTCTTCGTTTGGCTCTTCGAGCACGCAAGAAGTTTGGATTTGTTGATGGGACAATCGGGATGCCTGATCCTGAAGATGAAGATTTTGATGATTGGTGGACGAACCATTCGCTTTTGGTCTCTTGGATTCGGAACACGATTGATCCAACCCTGAGATCGAGCATATCGATCATGGAGAAAGCTTCAGATCTGTGGAATGAATTGAAGGCTCGTTTTTCTGTGGTGAACGGACCAAGGGTCCAGCAGTTGAAGCGAGATTTGGCGGAATGCAAACAGAAAAATCTTTCCATAATGGAATATTATGGAAAGATGAAGAAGTTATGGGACGATCTAGCAGATTTAGAGCAGTTCCGGCTTGCACGTGTAGAAATTGCACGTGTGACATGCAGGAGAAACTCGCGCAGATGCGTGAAAGGGAACGCTCCCATCAATTTTTGATGGGTCTGAATGATGCTTTGTATGGGACTTTGCGGTCAAATTTGCTGGCCCAGGAAATCATACCACCAGTATCAAGAATATATAACATTCTTGTCCAAGATGAAACGGCACGGCATGGCGTGCACAAAGGAGAAAGCAGTGAAGCAGGAGCATCCGTGTTTGCCGTAAAGAACAAGATCGAGGTCAAAGAGCTGGTGTGCTCACATTGTGGGAAAACAGGACATGATATTGAGGCGTGTTATAGGCTGATTGGGTACCCCGAAGGGTGGGTATTCCGCGATCAGTCCGGGAGAGGAAGAGGAAACGGACGAGGAAGAGGCGGCCGCGGAACTGCATGAGGCGGAGGACGGTCGACCGTGGCTGCTGGACGGTCGACCGTCACGGGTGGACGAGGCGAAGCCCATGCTGTCCAAGGAGAAGAAAAGGCGCCATCTCCGCTGCCAAACTTTGAGGATCTGACGCCTGAACAGTGGAACGCTGTTCGTCATGCCCTATCACTATCTCCTATAGACAATTCACCTAAACTCTCAGGTATTTCTGTGTCACCTCGTTGGATAATCGATACTGGCACATCCAATCATATGACAGGTGATATTTCGTTATTGTATGATGTGGTGGGTGTGTCTCCATGTGAAATTGGATTACCTGATGGAAAAAGAGTTGTGTCGGTTCAATCTGGAAAGGTTGATTTGACTAGGACTATGACTTTGCAGAATGTGTTATTTGTTCTAATCTTGAATTGCCATTTGATTTCTGTGTCACAGTTGACAAGAGATATAAACTGTGAGGCAAAGTTCAACGATAAATTGTGCATCTTACAGGACCTAAGTTTGAGGACAACGATTGGTGTGGGTAAACTTGAAGGAGGATTATACTATTTGAAGAAGGAGGAGAGGAACATGGCGTGCAGTGCTGCTACGAAGAGTTCATTTGATCTTTGGCACAAATGTCTAGGACATCCTTCTTCACATGTTTTGTCTTTAATTCCTGTAGTTGGTTCGAATAAACAAAGTCATAGTTATTGTGATGTCTGTTTACGTGCTAAACAAACTCGTGCTAGTTTTCCTATCAGTTTTCATCAGTCTTTGGATAAATTTGATATGGTGCATTGTGATTTGTGGGGTCCTTATCGGACACCGAGTCTGGATGGGTCTACTATGTTTTTGACTATTGTGGATGATTTTTCACGTGGTGTGTGGGTATATTTGCTTGACTCTAAGCGTACTGTTGGCGGTGTTTTTAGACAATTTTGTGCCATGGTTGAATGTCAGTTTGGAAAGAGGATAAAATGTGTTCGGAGTGACAATGGTACAGAATTTGAATGCTTGACAGAATATTTTTTGGAAAAAGGAATTGTTCGTGAGACATCTTGTGTGTCTACGCCGCAACAGAATGGTAGAGTTGAACGTAAACATCGGCATATTCTGAATGTGGGTCGCGCTTTGAGATTTCAAGCAGGGCTTCCAATCGAGTTCTGGGGAGAATGTATACAGACGGCGGCTTACTTGATTAACCGGACACCCTCGTCTCTTTTAGGGGGGGTTACGCCGTATGAAAAACTTTATGGAAGGGCTCCTGCACTAACTCATATTCGAATTTTTGGTTGCAGATGTTACGTTCACAATCTAAAGAGAGATGGAGATAAA